GCTTCAGATAACCGGCAACCATAATTTTAAGCCACAATATGGCCGAGTGTCGTTACTCCGAAGCGTAGCTTATTTAATGACATGACACTATTCATGCTCTTGTTCAAGGAGTATGTAATACCTGGAGTGGCCATGACGTAAGCCCCATGGGTTTCGCAAGCCACTACATTTTGACGCCTGCCTCTTCCTCATTGTTCCCGCTAGTGCCAACAAATTAGCTACGCTTTAGAGTAGCGACACTTGGCCATATTGTGGCTTAAAATCATGGTTGCCAGTTATCTGAAGCTTTATGTGAAATCACAGAAAACGCTTTTCCGTCCTCCACAAACATTTAAACAGTTCGCAACAAAGCAAAGCCATATTACATGAGCTTCCTAACACCGAATCTAATGCTGACGAAGTAGCACTTTTGGATCATGACGATCGGCAGTTGCGTCCGCTCTGCACAAGCACTAAAATGGCGGCGCCCACAACAATGTCGGGGAACGGAGTGCCGATACTCTAAGCGCAGCTCCTTTGGTGGCTCTAGTTCCCGCGAACCTCCTTTCCCTTGCCTGAAACTGAAACTAAATATGAATAATACACCATTATTATAACTTATTTAGTTATAACCAACTACACATAATGAGAGGAGGAAGCGGCCGGGTAGGAGAAACGCGGGTTTTATGTGCGACCGTTCTAACCGTCTCAGAAGAGAGAACACGCGAGTTTGCGCTGGTATCAAAAAGACGATCCAAAGAAAAGAGGCGGCACGCCATGGTTCTTTGTGATTGTGCGTCTAATTTATATACAGGTATATTTGAAGATCGATGATGGGCGTCGATCGTTTCAAGGTAATGTAACGTAATAACATTATAATTATATAAACAATAAACATAATGAAGGACTGAACGACTCAATTTTTCTATTCTTGGATTGTAATATGGCGGTAGCCTATTGTACTTATTGTTGATGAAGAGCAATATGAGGTGACGAGGTAATGATTAAATGATGAGGCTCTATAAGGACGACGACATGAGTGGGTGTCGAACCACAACGTACAGTGCCAGACTTGTTTCAGGTATCGTGTACCCAAAGACCTTTCTACACCCGCAACAGAATATGGTAGAATCAATGAGGATGCTGCTTTACAACTTTACAACTGTACAAGGAACAGGAAAACTGCACTGTGCAAAAGTGCGGCTTATTCGTTAATATGAAGGACGGATTTCTAGCAGCATCCCCTAATGGACTGCTTGGTACAAGTGGCCTCGTTGACGTAAAGTGTCCCCGTTCCAAAAGATTCTTGAAGCAAACTGATACCGCGAAAGAGTATGAGGCGAAAAATAAGAAAAAGGAGCCTGGTGTGAAAGGTCCAAATCACCACCATAGCTTCTACTACCAAATACAAGGGAAGTTACACAATACAAAAAGAGTTTTGTGATTTCATTATTATTACACTCAAAAGCATTGATATCCAACGTATTTAGTGGGATGACACCTTCTGGTGAACCAACACAGAGCCTTTTCTACTCAAGTTTTACATGGAAGGCCGGATTTCCGCTGAAATTCCTCACGTAGACGAGTTGTCCGATCGAATAAACTGCCATTACTCCCGATCTGGGAATCTCTCGATCTTCGTTCGTAGGCCACAGTGTCATGAGATCGAGGGGTGTGGCTCTTTGTCCGCCGAACATTGCTTCGGCGGGTGTTTTTACCGTGTAAGATGAGACCGTCGCGTGCTGCCGGAACAAGCGATTCTTCACTGAACTGCCTCTTCCGTAAGCTTGAAGAGGGCTTTCTTCGTTTCGCACACCAAATGTTCTGGATTTGGCGCGTTATCAGAGAAAAGTATTTTCGGTAGTGCAATAGTAGGGAAAAGAGAGCGTATAACGTCATTGACGAGTTTGGACGTCGTGGCAGGCATCGTGTAAACTTCCAACCACTTAGAGTACGCATCGACCATGACTCCGGGCGCAGATACGGATACGTTTCGCCACCCACCAACTGATTAGTGGATCATTTTCAGTTATTGTTGATGATGGCGCTGGACTCGAGGAAGACTTCGAGTCTTTCCACAAAGTTAGCCCAGGTGCCAACACTTTTGTCGAAAGCGGTAAGTGTTCGAGACGTCGACAACGTCGGTAGCCACGTGCTGTGCTGGACACTGGACGCTTACCATTCGCTGAGAAGAAACGTGCTTGTTCGTCTGCCACGAGTCGTCCGATATCAGGTCATCACTGCAACTCCATCTCCCGACAAAACAGGTCTTCATTGTCCGCATGTCCCTAGTTATCAATCATGTAAACTTATAAATTCCAGAACGCGCATCACTTGCCAGCAGTGATAGAGTGCAGGCGAGCTGGTAATTAATCGACATCTTGTAGACTCTGAGATTGGGAACGATAAAAAAAACGGACGAACACAACCGTCCCTAAACGCCGCTCATTCATAGCGTCTTCATTGCAAATAAACGTCTTCCTATTTATTCTGTTGCTTTTCATCTTATTCCTCCTAAGCTGTACTTACAACATTATGTGTGTCGGTACTTCCGAAAATATTGCAACGGCGTTTGTTTTCTGGGAACTATAATGAAACAACCTTTACAACATTTTCCGGATCCCGTGAAACACAATATTTTGTGACGTCACCTTTCAGTCGTCATTATAAGTGTGAGGTAAGTAAGCGCACAGCTGGCAGCGGTGCGAGCAAGGCCACGATAGGAACGTGATGGCGCTCGAGCCATCCCACCGTGAACCAATATTTCGGCCACCCCACGGGTGCGTGCCGCCATCTATTGGTTGAACTAACGCCTTGTTCAAGATGGCTGCCGTGGGACCGCAGCCTGCGTCCTGGAATGCTCATCTGAATGCGGGTTTCCTTATTTCTCGCACTGACACCAATAAAGCACATTTATAGAACTCGGTTTTGTGCGTATCCTTATATAGAAAGCTTTACTTCTAATATATTCTGACAAATTTGGGGAAAATAAATAAACGAAGTATTTTTTAAGTAACTGTACCTGTACACAGGTACATTTTTAAGCGAGTACCTAGGTACCTTTTCGTATGAGTAACTGTAACTCTATCTTAGGTTCTTAGGTACATTTTTTAAGTAACTTTTACAACCCTGGTTACAGCGGACAACCTATGCGTTGGGTAGAAAGTCTGACGAAAACGAGTATAATCGCTAATTTGCGAGCGCGGCTCGAGAAAAAGTCCTGCCAGTCCCGTCCTAAAATCAAAGATGCTCTGCTCGGGTTACTCAGTATGAATCGGTGCATCTAAAACGGCACCAGCACGGACAGTCCATGTGTTTCAGCGGGGCATGTTCGGTGCACACAGCGTGGTTCCAGACCTCAATGCCGCCACTGCAGTTTTTGCAACCCACTACAGAGCACGCCTTGCCCGTCGGACGCCGTATCACACCACTGCGGTCGCCTCACCGTCACACAAACACCTGCAAGCGAGGTAAGCGGAGTGCAGGTGCAGGCCAAAAGACAGGCCGGCAATGGCGTCGTTGGGAGCGAGCCGACTGCTGGCGGTTCGGATAACTGTCGCGCTGAAGGCGTCTGCATGTGTCGTCTGATCGAGTCGTTTCTTTCCCTCTCTCTCTTTTTTTCTTTGTTGCATTGTTTGCGTTAGACTTGTACACGTTACCGAAAAATAGTAAGGAATTACATTTACAATTACTCAAGGCTAAATTGTAATTAAATACAAGTAGGGACCACTACCCCAAAAAGTAATCCGTTACTTTCGTGGCGTCACTTCCAACATTATTGTGCTCAAGTAAGAAACAAAGGGAAGAGGGTTAATCAAGTTCTTATAGTTGCAACCTGTTCCATGTATTGACGTTGAGTATTCTGAGCAAGAGCAACACTTGGCTCTCGAAAGTCGTCAGACATTTTGCGTAATTTCTTATTGAAAATGTCGACTGCTACGGCTGAACTTTCTTTGAACTGAGGCACTGGATGGGAGGGCCATATTGTGCCTCACGAATGCTTCATGCTCCGCTTTGAGCTTCTTCAGCGAAGCAATGAAAGTGCTATCTACCTCGCAGATAGAGCAAAGCTTTGTCGTTGCAGCCGTTGCCTGATATTCGAGAGTTTTAGTAGATCGTTCCGATACCTCCGATACCCCCGATAACGATACGCTGCATGCGCGAAGGCGGCGGCGGAGTATCGGGTCATCGCTATCGGAGTCATCGGAACGATCTACTAAAATTCTCTATTGTCGAAATCGCGAAGCTGCAGAAGTCGTCATACAACTAGCCAAAATTGGAATAAGAACTGATTTATGTACATCTTACTATAACGGCATATATTGCCAGACAATGGCATACAAAGTTGGTAACGTGAGGAGATCATTAAATAATAAGTAAGGTTTGGATCAACAGTCCTCTTGAACAGGTCGAGCCTCGGTTGAGATGTTGGTGACTAAGAAAGCGTTTTCAATGTATAAATATAAGTAATAATAAGAATAAGAAAAAATGAGACGTTTACAATTCTCTGTAATGCCGAATTAGAGCGCAGCTCTTGAGGAGGAGGAGGGGAGGGTTACGCTTGACGTCACGAGAATAAATTTTCCCGCTAAATTTTGTGGCAAATTTTTCCGTTACGTTTAGCGAGGAAATGTCCCCGCTAAATTTATCAAACAAATTTTCCGCCAAATTTAGCGGGAAAATTTTACTCTCGTAACGTCACACGTGACGTCACGTCTGACGTCACGAGGGTAAAAATTTCCCGCTAGATTTTGCGGAAATTTTTTCTACTAAATTCAGGGGAAAAATTTTCCCGCCATATTTAGCGGAAAAAATGTCCCGGTTGAGTGCGTCACGTGACGTCATACGTGACGTCATTATGGGAACCGTCCCATAACGCAATGCGCGGTTACACCGACGGCAACGGCGACGCCGCTGAAGCCGGAAACAGGCGCCCAAGAGCTGCACACTAAACGAACACCAAGACACTCATACCGACAACTAACTAGAACGTCAGTTAAAACAAGGAAATGTAAACGCACGTTTGCCGTGTGTACCTTTCTTGATGCCGTTCAAAAACGCACGGAGCACGGACCGACGGTAGTTTACTCCGCTGTTCTCCAGATAGACGTCCGCTGGGTGTTGCAGAAAATATTTGGTTTCCGTTTGAGGAGGGGGTGGGAGAGAAGGAATCTCATGTGCGGAAGCGTGAGTCGAGGCTGTGGCTCGCTGAATGCATAGCCCCGAGGGAAGAGACCTGGAGTGGGGTTACTACAGTAGAACTTATATGAACGGTGAATATACAGGTTGCATGGTCGACTGGTTAATCGGCAATCGGCGACTTCGGGCTCTCCGAGCCCATGCTATATAGCCCGCCGAGGGCGAGACGGCCCGCGGAGAGAGAGGAGCCTTCCCCGGCGTTCGAGTGTTCACGTGGTATTCGAAGTTCGAGGTGGCTGATGCAATTTCCGGGTGTTCTTTCAGCGAGGACCAGATGATGGCAATCTTGCCGCGCTCCGGTGGCTGATGCAAAGAGTCCGCGCCCTTGCCGCTCGAAATGAAACACAACACCGTCAGACCCACCCACACACACACACACTCGCACGCCAGCGTTTCTCCTTGCGAGGGCTGGCGGTCAGGGTATGCCCCCACACTCAAACCTGTTCCGACCGCTCCCCCCCTCCCCCCTTCCCCCCCTCTCTTCTCCCCTCCAACCACCGGTGAGGCTGTTCATTTAAAGCTGCAGCTGCACTCCATAGGCGACGAGGCCCCACAGGCTATACCGTGTTGGTGCCGGTTTTTAATTTTGTGCAGCGTGTTTAATATGGTTTATATATATATATATATATATATATATATATATATATATATATATATATATATATATATGTGTGTGTGTGTGTGTGTGTATGTGTGTGTGGGTGGGTGTGTGTATATGTATGTATGCATGTATCAGTAGTAGGTGATATGTATTCTCTCTTTGAAAGCCTTGTTAACCCGTTCGTTTAAAGTTGTAATTCATTGTTTGTCCAGTATATGCGTTCTCACTAATAAACCTCCGAAGATTCTATCGGACTGCAGCCTTCATTTCTCTGCACTGCGCTTCGTCAGTGGTCTTTGATATATATACGTATATATGTATATACCGGGTTTTTTTTTTTTTTTTTAATTTAACACTTTTTTTCTTTTTAAATCCGTGAAAGTTACACTTATGCGATTTGCGCGGGTGAGTTATACGGCCAGGGGGACATAGTGTAGGGTGCTAATCGTAACGATCAGTCGGCTAATTAAGTAAAATTTGTTAATTAACTTTTTAATGACTGAAAATAAACAAATGGTTTCAATGCGGAGGGCAAGTTCGTCTGCTTCTTGCGCAGGGGGTAGCGGTGACGTCAGAACGCCGAGCCCTGATTGGCTGATCGCGACCCCTTATCTGAGCGTCGTCTGCTCCTTTGCAACGTCGTCTGCTCGCAACGTCGTCTGCGTCAGTCTCACCTTTCCTGCGACTTTCGGAAGTGCAGAGGCCAGAGGCCAGGTTCACAAAACGATCTTACGCCAAAAATGTGCGCAAGACAAAACTTTGAACAAATTCGTATTCACGAAACGAAATTTCGGTAAGTTTTGCGCAGGTTACGACGAAATCCTACGACAGCTCGGAAGCTATCTTACGCACTTTTTACGATCAAATCAGCATGGCCAACAGCGTCGCGGTCGCGACGACCAACGGACGTTTATTTTTCTACGTGCGCTTCTCACGCGTTCCGACTTCAAGTAGCAAGAAAAAATTAAAAAGCACTTCAAACAGACCACGACGAACAAGAACGCTGGATCCACAAACACCCGGGAAAAGCTCCAACGGCCACGATTCCACCGACAACGACCAAGCGAGCACGGAAGATAGGCCTAGCAGGCACTCCGACTCGGCGACCGTCTGGCCACGACCGGCTGGCGTGCTGAATGGAATATGCCTGCGCGACCCTTGTGAATTCTTCTTGTCTTATACTTTGATCACTGACCTCGATTTTAGATTAAGAGGTCATTCTCTTCCCCTTGTCATCTCCTTGTTTTCCGAGGCAACGGTGACTCTCGCCAGTAAAAAAGCGGTGAATCTCCGACAGACGCAGGAAAGGTAAACCAGCCATCGCTTTGACTAGCAGACGTAAAGCAGACGACGTTAAAAGGAAGATGGGGCACTTCTACATTTGAGAAAAAACACTTGAATTGCGTTCATTTGGCCTTTAGAATAACAGATATCAAAATTATATTTCAATGCGACGCGCCGGAGAGCCACAAGAGCAATTTCAAAATAGGGCTGAAGCCCCGCCCCCCTAGCCTTGGGCAGCCAAAAGAGCCGTCGATGACGTCATGGACAGCGACTGTCTGTCGCGTTTTTCTCGCGTTTAACAATACTTACGCAGCAAATGGTTTGGGTATTCGGGTTCACGGGGTAAAAATACACTAGAATTCACTTCTAACTCATTTTTTCCAAGAAGCTCCGTAGCTTCCCTTTAACTGCGCCAACCCGACGACGCCGTTAAAGAGAGAGGAGTCTCGCCGCACACGAAAGGAGGGGAAAAGTATTTGGGAGGGAACTTGCGGACACTAACCACCCTCACTCACGTTTCTTAGCAAACAAACCTCGGCGCCTCGGGACACCTCGCCAGGGAGTCCTTTGACTTCCCTCCTTGATGCGCGTCTGCTAATTGTTAGACAAAAACAACGTACCGCTCGAGTTATTTCGTCTGCCCTCTCTGAAAGGCGAAGTCGAGCTCGCTCGACTTTCGAAAGTCGCAGGAAAGGTAAGACAGACGCAGACGACGTTGCGAGCAGACGACGTTGCAAAGGAGCAGACGACGCTCAGATAGGGGGTCGCGCTCAGCCAGTCAGGGCTCGGCGTTCTGACGTCACCGCTACTTCCTTTCTCATGCGCAGAAGACGAAAATGAACCGACTTGCGAGGCGTATAAGAAACATGCTAAGCGTCATTGAAAACCACTAAATCAGTAATTTTGAGAAAGTTTTTGAGCGAGTGAGAAGCGTAGTATAGTGCACTAAAGTTACCTTAGCGGTTGCGGTAGGGTGCCCGCGCGATTAGACCGACACGCGGGCTTGACGTCACGGAGCTGCGGCGGCGCTGCAATCGCGCCGGAGCCGGGTGGTGTGAGCAAAAGGCCGCGCGTTTCGCACGAGCGTCATAGCATTTCAGCATGCCGCGAAGCTGTGTGGCCGTTAATTGCACCGAAAGGTACAGAAAAATTAGCGGAGTGAGTTTCCACAAGTTCCCGGCGAACTTTGAAAGGCACAGAAGGTGGATAATATTAGTGGATCGAAAAGAATGGTCGCCTCGCGCGAACGACCGTTTGTGCGGCAAGCACTTTCTTGAAGGCAAGTGCGACTTCCATTTCAATCTCCGTCCTGAGGCTTGCTTATGCGCAGGGAAACCGTCGTCTGATCGAGACCACCCGGATTTTGTTCCCACGGCGTTCGCGCACAAAGCACCGGCCAAGCGCTCGTCGGAGGCTCGCTAGGCCCGTGCACCGTGGGCCCGTGCTACCAAACAGAACGGGATCGGCGACAGAACGGCAGTGTTGTAGGCGCTACCGAAAAAAAGTAACGAAATACGTTGATCGTTACTTGCAAATAAAAGGTACGCGTAACCGAGCTACGTTACCTAAAAATAAAAGGAACGCGTTACCGCTACCGATAAAAAGTAACGCATGTTACTTTTTTAAATTATGGTTTAAATCGTTTTACTGTTTTGACGATACAGCTGTGCATAAGCTCATATATAAAGAAACATTATGTTCATTCAGAAACAGAACATAATTACTTCATCTCTTTTTACGGTTTCACCTAAATACCAGAAAAAACGCAGAAAACTCTGAAATGTACATGGCAATTCACGCCTAAAAACACCAAAAAAATTGAAGTGTAATTTCTTTGAAACTTGGGTAGTAACGAGTAACGTAGCTACGTTACTTTAAATAGTAACGTAAGTACGTTACCCGTTACTGTGTCGAAAAAGTAACCAGTAGGTTACCACGTTACTGAAAAAAGCAACGCGTTCCTGGTAACGCCGTTTCTTGTAACGTGTTACCTCCAGGACTGCAGAGCGGAAAGCGTTACTGCTTGTCTTGCCTTGTGGTCATGAGAGTAGGAAAATTTTCATACCTTGACTCGAAGACGCTGTGTGTATTTAATCAATTATTAAATACATTTCCGTTGACCTACAGTCTGCTGATCCCGCTGGCAGTGCGGTAACCAACTCTAAGCAATCGTAGGCCTCGAGAGACTGGGACGCCTGCACCGTGTCGGCCGTGGACTGGCTTGGCGAAAAAACTAAATAAACGAAGACGTGTGCCGTCGACTATAGGTGGCAGCAACGTCACGTCGGAAGTCCAGCAGGCCCTGTTTGCGGCGTACGGATCCTCGTCGTCAACGCCTTCCACACCCAGTTTGTTTCGATATCGCTGCCGTTCAGGCTCAGGTAGCGAGGTCAAATAGCCGGGCATAGCATACGACATACGTTGTCGGGAAATATGACGCCTAAATAAAGCTACAAGTGTCCCTACAACGTCAACAACGCGCGCGCGCCACACAACGCAATGGCGGAAACACGGAGAGCAGGGCCGCTTTTGCCCACATAGCTTCCGCGCATGCGCGGCCTTCCGGCCGTGTTGGTAAACAGAGCCGCTCCGCGCGCCGGTCTATAAGCTTCGGTCCGAGCGCGGCCGATGTTATGAGCCGAAGGGCCAATCAAACAACGAAAGAGGCACAACGTCATCGCGTGCTCTCTGCAGCTGATAGGACCAGCCGGTATTCGCCGTCTCCCTGTGCGTGCTCCTCCGCCGGCTAGTCCTATTAAACGCAGAGAGCACGCCATGACGTTGCGCTTTTTGCGCCGTTTGATTGGCCCTTCGGCTCATAACATCGGCCGCGCTCGGACCGAAGCTGAAACGAAGTATATATACCCAGCCCTGCACAGGAGTGGTAACTTTAGTACACTACTACGTTTCTCACGCGCTCAGTCTTTCTTAAAATTACTGATTCAGTGGTTTTCGATGACGCTGAGCAAGTTTCTAATTGGAACCGTATGTCTGTTTTCATTAATTAAAATGTTAATTAACCAATTTTCACTAATTAGCCGACTAATCATTACGATTAGCCGCCTACACTATCTCCCCCTGGCCGTATACTATAACTCACATGCAGCAACCGCATAAGTGTACCTTTCACGCTTTTTTTAAACAAATCTATTAATTTAAAAAAAACAGCCTGTATATATATGTCGACAAATTCGATATTGCGAAAACTACGCGTCTTAACAAAAAAAGGCTTGTGTCATTTTGGTCCTGGGCCAGGGG